ATGTAAAAAATCAACGGTGTTAATATTTAATATATATATATATCAGTGGATAAAAATTTATTGAGAAGAAACCAAAGAATAAAGAAGCCCCAAGGACACAAGCTACACAGCAAGAGCCAAAGATCTAAAACAGATCAACATAAACATTCAACTAAAAGACCAATGCTAAAAATAAATATAGGGCTAAACCCCAGCTAGTTTACACATAATTGAAAAATAAAAAATAAAAATTGCACACCAACAAAGTTATTATTAATGAATTTACCGGGAAAAAATATATATTATCACAATAAAAAAATATATATTATCATATTCACCCTAGCTAGTGCACACATCACCCAAAGGCGGCCACCGTTGCTTGCACCTCCATACGCCGATGAAGCTGGAGAGAGAAAGAGAGGAGAGAAAGGGGGAAAATAAGACCCATGCGCCGTTGTCTGGCCTGTTAGATAGAGAGTGGAGAGACGGGGAGATGAATTGATCGTAAGCAAATTTTTTTGCCAACTGGACTGCCACCTAGGATTCTACCTAAATAATCGGCCAAATCAATGCGTTTAAATATCATTTTCCTAATAAAATTTATAGGATCTAAATAAAACATATATAAAATTTAGGGTTTCAAACAATCCTTGCAATTCGATCCGAATCAATTCAAACCTTATGCTTTGATTTGGATTTTACTTCAAAAATCCAATTAATTTCATAAATATATAAAAGGAATGATACCACCCTTCGTATCAAACGAAAACTTAAGAGTACTGGTGCTGCATAAAACACCAAAATTAGATACTCTATAGAAATCAGGAACCAAATTAACCATATATACTTGTTTCAAGATTTCTTCATTTATTATAAGAAAGCTAAGAAAAAAATATATATACACAGATACATATATAACAGATCATATAACTGACTAAATATATAACTGAAATAAGTTAATTATAGAACATATAAAAACCTGTAGGCTTCCTCAACCTGATTGCATATATAGATCCTGTTTGGCTGCAAGGATAGGTTCTTTACGTTTTTCTTGAAGTAGTGTTTGAAGATTAAAATTCAATGATCATCAAACACTACTACAAGAAAAAAGTAAAGAAACCATAACCAGAATCATTCTCCATCGATCCCACGTAGCTAGAATCTTGAAAAGAGAACTCTGAGATAGATGATGAGACGTCCAAAGACAAGTAAGCCGTGAATATGATCATGTGTATATATATATATACACACACACACACACACACACACACACACACACACACACGCTAGCTTCATATATAAGCTAATTATAGGATAATATTCGAAGTTGTTTGATCATAAACCCTAGGACGCTAGCTTCATATATAAGCTTGAATGTGGAGGGACGGACGGAGACTAGTACTGCAAGTCAAAAAGTAGGGAATTAAGTTTGTTGCATGAGATATCTCAATGTATTTGTATCCTTAATTGTGGGATAGGAGATAAGGATTTAATTACCAAGTATTAGTTGTATGATTAATTTTAAGATTTAAAATTGACAAAAATACAAATTTTTTGATAATTATAGAAATGCCTCAATTAAACTCTTAAAATTTCACAAAGGCTCTTGGAGCTAGGGGTGGGACTAAGGATGGCAAAATTTCCAAACCCGCCGGATCCCCGCCTCGCCCAGTTTAGGGCGGGTTTGGGGACCCTTTTGTGTGAATGGTGATGGGGGTAGTTTTTAAAACCCGACAGGGGCAGGAGCAGGGGATTGGGTAAACCCGTCCCGTTTACGGTACATATACATTTATTCATTAGCTATTATGATATGTTACTAAATTAGATTAAGTATAGATAAACACACTTGAGAAAAATTATAACTTGGTTGTGCTGAGTCTTGGAATTTAAGAAAAAGAAAAATTATGTGCTAAAAAATTTAGTGTGTTAATCGATTATGGGAGCAGGGTGGGGCGGGTAGGGGGATGGGGGTGAAATTTTAAACACGTATTAAGATGAAAAAATTCACCGAGCGTGGGGATGGGGAATGAGATCCCCGCCCCATTGCCATTCCTAGGCGGGACACAAGACATGGCCCCACCAAAATTTTTCTTATTCCCTATTAATTATTATTTTATACAAATACCTCTACTTGTGGCCCCCAAAATTCATTAAAAAAAATTTTTAATTGGTCCCTGCAAAAATTTTTAAAACACTTATTTTATTCCGTAATAATTATGAATTTAGAAATAAATATAACTTGTATCATCTCAAAACTCATTATAAATTTTAATTTGGACATTTTTAACCTACTTTTGAAAGTCTAAATCTTAACAAATAAAAATAGAAGTTCATTTTTGGTATTTTTTACTTCAATATATCATTGTTTTACTCACATTTACATATTCGCAAGTGTAATACCCATTATATGAATTCAAGAGAGAAGAAAAGTAACACTAATGCCTTCTCATATTTAATAAAAATACATGAACTTTCTTATTATGTAATATCCCTAGTTTTCAAAAAGATAAGATTGAAATTTAACTATTTGTTTTTATGTGCATTTTAATTGGTAAATTGATTATTTGTTTTATGTGCATTTTAAACAAGTAAAAATATTACTCATTGTTGTGCAAAACAAGTAAAAATTAAGAGAGCTGATATTGGTGCTCCACAATTATCTTTAGGTGCTTCATTCCCTTTCTCACTCCAAATGAAATTACAAAAGGGTTCCACTTTGATTCCCATAATTTTTAATACCACAATTGCCATTCTTTAATTTTTTTAGAGTTTAGATTATCCTTTTCAAATCTCTCTTTGCCACAATGGAGTCATTAAACAACATTAGCAAAAGTAAGACAATAGTACCAACACCAAAAATGAAAAAAAGATTAGAGTACTTGTTGGCCTTTTATAGTTGGGAGTATATATATATATATATATATATATATATTCAACGGATAGAGGAACTTGAACCTTTTTTTTTTTTTTTTTTTTAACCAAGAGAATCAGGTTGATGAGAAGAATGTAAAAAATAAAAAATAAAAAAAATTGAAAAAAGCACAAATAGAGAGACACCTTCCCAAAGTCCAAAATAAACAAAATACAACAATAACGATTTCAATAACACCACCGTCAAAAAGAAGCGACCAACTAGAAATAAGTACAAATTGCTAAAAAAAAAAAAAAAAAAAAACTCTCAATGAAACTTGAATTATAAAACAAATATAGATAAAAATATTAGAGTTAAAAAATAAAAAATAAAAAAAATAAAAAATATGAATTACATGGAAAAAATTTCTTGACAATATACAATTGCTTATTTATGAATTCACAAGCACACAAAATTGACTATATTACATAACAAATGATTTGATTGACAACTCAAAATTCTATATGTTCTTTATTTGAGTGAGTCCTTTCAGCAAGAATTTTAAAATTACTTATAATTATTGTCAGCAATTTGAAAACTAAGTATTATACATTCCAGCTTTATATATATATATATAGCCATGCCAATCGTTATACATTATTAGTTTCATCAAATTTTAATATACATAACACAGAAATTGGGAAAAACTGGAGTATATTTCATAACTTTCTAATACAAAGCAGCCTGACCTTTATAGGCTGAATACAATCAGATTAGAATCCAGTAAATTAAGGAATATACAATCAAATCCCTAAGATCAGAAAATAAAATAAGTCAACCTAAACTTTAATACACCAGCTATATTAGCCTGTAATTAGTACAAAATCAGACAGTTAATACTTTCCAAATTTATCTAACAATTACATAAATCACGTAATTCTCCAACACTCCCCCTCAAGCTGGGGAATAAATATCTTCCATCCCCAGCTTGCAGACAATTCTTTGAAACGCAGGACTGGCTAACCCTTTGGTTAGTACATCAGGTAGTTGTCCTCTTGTTGAGACATACGGAGTGCAAATCAGTCCATTATCGAGCTTTTCCTTTATGAAGTGGCGATCAACTTCCACATGCTTGGTGCGGTCATGTTGCACTGGATTATGTGCAATATTGATGGCTGACTTGTTATCACAATATAACTTCATCGGCCTCTTAACTGAAACTCCAAGATCCTTCAGGACTATTTTCAACCATAATAATTCACATATTCCTAAAGCCATGGCACGAAATTCAGCTTCTACACTTGACCTTGCAACTACTGGCTGCTTTTTGCTCCTCCATGTAACAAGATTCCCACCTAGGAAGGCACAATAACCCGAGGTTGATCTTCTATCTGACACTGAACTTGCATAGTCTGAGTTTATGTAAACTTCTAAGTTCAAGCACAATCTTCTCTTGAACAATATGCCTCGACCTGGACTAGATTTTTAGATATTACAGGATTCTGTATACTGCTTGGAGATGTACTTCCTTTGGGTTGTGCATAAATTGGCTCACTACACTAACTGCATAGGCGATGTCAGGCCTGGTGTGAGACAAGTAGATTAATCTTCCAACAAGTCTTTGATACATTCCTTTGTCAACTGGCTCATCATCAACAGCTTCTCCAAGCTTATGATTCGGTTCAATGGGAGTCTTCACAGGCTTACAGCCTATCTTTCTTGTTTCTTTCAGTAAATCAATAACATACTTTTGTTGTGAGACGAAAATTCCTTCTTTGGAGCAAGCAACTTCAATTCTCAGGAAGTATTTCAGCTTGCTTAGGCCTTTTATTTCAAATTCCGTGGCCAGTTTAGCTTTAAGAGTTTCCCTTTCAGCTTGATCATTGCCAGTGACAATAATATCATCTACGTATACAATGAGGACTGTAACTTCCCCTGAAGAAGAGTGTTTAATGAACAAAGTATGATCACCTTGACTTTGTTTGTAACCCATTGCTAACATTGCTCTTACAAACCTGCCAAACCAAGCCCTGGGGGATTGCTTCAGTCCGTACAGTGCCTTCCTTAGTCTGCATACCCTATTCTTCTTCGGAAAACTAAACCCTGGAGGAGCGTCCATATATATTTCTTCTTCAAGATCTCCATGCAGAAATGCATTTTTTACATCAAACTACTGCAAAGTCCAATCAAAGTTAGTAGCCAAAGACAATAAAATTCTTATTGTGTTCATTTTTGCCACTGGGGCAAAAGTTTCTTGATAATCAACACCAAAGGTCTGGGTATATCCTTTTGCTACTAGCCTTGCCTTGTACCTTTCAAGAGATCCATCTGCATTGAATTTTACTGAAAACACCCATTTGCATCCCACAGTTTTTTTTCCCTTCGGTAATTCGACCGTCTCCCAAGTCTTGTTCTTTTCCAGTGCGTCCATCTCAACTTTCATGGCCTGCTTCCATTCCCTGCTGTTTAATGCCTCAGACAATGTTTTAGGAACGGCTATTGAGTTTAGCTGAGTAAGGAAGGCTCTATGTGAGGGAGATAATTTTTCAAAGGAAACAAAATGAGAGAGTGGATGTTGTGTACACCTTCAGGTACCTTTTCGAACTGCAATGGGTAGTTCTAAATCAATCTCATCAAACACAAGAGTGGAATTGTTTACCTGAGTAGTGTTTTTCTCCTGAGTGGTTTCTTTCCCAAGCATAGGTTCTGACTTTTGGGCTTGCTTCGGATTAGTCTTGCCTCCCTTCCTTCTCGAAAAAACTTGAAGTGGTTTAGTGACTACTGGATTGATTGATGGAGTTGGATTTTTAGGAGGAGATTGTGGTTAAGATTCAAGAGATGTCACACTTGGATTTTGAAGCGGAGGAATATCAAAACTGGGATCGGAAGTAAGTAGTGAAACCTGGGAATGAATGTGATCCGGACTTGGAGAAGCCGCGGTAAGAGGGGAACCAAAGGAAACCGAGGCAGGAGTGGTTGCAGAACTTGGACTCAAAGATGGTGGTGACAATTTGGGCATAAGATCGAAATCGAGGACATCGGCATCATCATCCTTTTCATCACTTGTTACCTCCCCCTGTGGAGAAGGATGATGAAAGAAACTCTCATGTTCAACAAATGTGACATCAATTGAAATGTCGGTTTTCTGAGTAGGCGGATGGTAACATTTGTAACCTTTTTGAGTTGAAGAGTAACTTATAAAAATACATTTAAGTGCTCGGGGATCAAGTTTGCTTCGATTGTGAGCATGAACATGAGTAAAGATAACACAACCAAATACCCGAGGAGACAACCTGTTTGGAGTAAGGAAGTCTGGAAAATGATGTGAAAGTGTTTCCCAAGGACTTCTAAAATCTAAGACTTTGGTAGGTAATTGGTTGATGAGATGAGTGGCTGTAAGAACGGCTTCCCCCCAAAAATATTTTGGAACTTGTCTTTGAAAAAGAAGAGCACGGGTAGTTTCAAGAAGATGTCCATTCTTTCTTTCGGCCACCCCATTTTGTTGGGGTGTGTTAATGCATGAGGACTCATGAACTATTCCCTCTTGATTCAAATATGGTGAAAGAATTTGGTTAAAATATTCTCTCCCGTTGTCTGTCCTCACCCTTTTGATTTTCACCCCAAACTGTGTTTTTATCATGTTATGAAATATTAGAAAGATATTGGCTACATCAAATTTTTGCTTCATGAGAAAAGTCTAAGTTACCCGCGTACAATCATCTATAAAAATGACAAACCAACGTGCCCCAGAATAATTAGCAACCCGTGAAGGACCCCAAACATCACTGTGCATCAAATAAAAAGAAACTGATGATTTATTATTGTTCAAAGGAAAGGAAATACGTTTGTGTTTGGCAATTTCACAAATATCACAATGAAATTGTTTCAAATCAACATTTTTAAACAAAGAAGGAAACATAAGACTAAGAGTTCTAAAGGAAGGATGACCAAGCTGAAAATGATGAAGGAGAATTTTGTCTTTATTTGTGGAGGAATCAGACAGAAGCACAGATGAACAACCAATTCCAGTACTCACTTTTCCACTCATGGGCTCAAGACAGTAGAGACCATCCTTTTCTTTAGCATGCCCAATCGTCTTCCCCGAAGCTCGGTCCTGAAACACACATGAATTTTTTGAGAAAATAAGATTACAGTTCATATCCTTGGTGATTTGTTTGACAGATAAAAGATTGGTTGTCAATTTGGGCACATGTAAAACATTTTTAAGACACAAGGAAGGTCCTAAGGATATGTCCCCCTGTCTTGCAACAGTGACTAAATTCCCATCAGCTATGGTGATCTTTTTATTACTTGGGCATGGTTTATAAGAAGAAAAAGATTGGGATGAGTTGGTCATATGGTCGGTTGCGCCTGAGTCGACAATCCAAGAGTGTGGGTGGATTAAAACATTATCTGAGACACTAAGAGCATGAGAACCAGAGTACATACCAGAAAGTGCTAATGAACAGGCACCTGTAGGTTCTTCGAGTGAATTAAGAAGGGATCGAAGGCGATCAATGTCTTCCTTACAGAATTCTCTGCTGCTGGAATTCGGTTGATCACTGGTATTATTAGTGCTATTTTGTGCAACGTGGACTTTTCCCTTTTGCTGCCAGCTTCTTCCTCCGGAATTCCAGTTTGATTGATTCATGTTTTGTGGCCTTCCATGTAGCTTATAGCAGGTGTCCTTCGTATGACCAGTTTTCTTGCAATACTTACATACCAGATTCTCTTTGAATGTCCTCTTCGGGTCAGATTTCTTATAATCAGTAATAGCTGAAGACTTCTTCTCCAAAGTTCTCTCACTAGCAGCGGTTGTAAGGAGTGCCGATCCTTCCAATGGCTGCGAATCCAACATAACTCCTCTCCTGCTCTCTTCAGCACGAATAGTTGCAATTGCTTCATTTAGGGAGGATAATCCTTTCCCCAAAGTCTGAACTCTTACAGTATCGAATTCCGGATTAAGGCCTACTAAGAAATCATAGATTTGGTCTTTTTCTATGAAAGCCTTCAACAACGCAGCATCCTCACTGTTCTTCATCTCGAGAACCTGGTAATAGTCCAACTCGTACCATAAATTTTTCAGAGTGTTGGCATACTCTGTTACAGTCTTGTTCCCTTGTTTTGTGGCAGCTAGCTTTACCTTGATCTCGTACACCTGGGCTGCATCATTTTTCTTCGAATAAGTTTGTCTGATCGCCTCCCATATCTCTTGAGCGGTTGTCAAAAACATGACAGTATCACTTATCTCAGGTACCATAGCATTCCATAGCCATGACATGACCATTGAGTCTTCTTCGTCCCAAGCAGCAAACTTTGGATCTTCTTTCTTAGGCCCTTTTCCAAGAAGATGGTTGAGCTTGCCCTTCCCTTTCAGAAAGGTTTGAACAAGTTGAGACCACTTTAAATAGTTTGTTCCATTCAACCTATACGCAGCTTGAATGTTCTGTAGATCTCCAGGAACCTGTTGTTGGATTGCAGGTTCCTCCGATTGAGAGCTGGTTTGTGTAACCTCTGACATCTCTTTTTTCTTCTGTAAAAAACTGAACTCCAAGCTGCTATGAAATCTGTAAATGATGAAATATTTTATCCCAGAAAGAGTACCTAGTGCTCTGATACCATAACACATAAATTGGGAAAAACTGGAGTATATTTCATAACTTTCTAATACAAAGTAGCCTAACCTTTATAGGCTGAATACAATCAGATCAGAATCCAGTAAATTAAGGAATATACAATCAAATCCCTAAGATCAGAAAATAAAATAAGTCAACCTAAACTTTAATACACCAGCTATATTAGCCTGTAATTAGTACAAAATCAGACAGTTAATACTTTCCAAATTTATCTAACAATTACATAAATCACGTAATTCTCCAACAATACACATTACAAAAAATCTTTGATGAGTACGTACACCTAATATGTGAATTGAAAAATAGATATGTTGGATTAATGTGACTAAAAAGTAATTAATTGAGAGGCTTCACAGCCCCTTCCCAACAAGGCTATTAAGCAAATCCATATTAACCAGAGCTGGAATGAACTATCATTGCATTGATGAAGACATGCCAGAACTAATATGTAGGTGGAGACTTCAGCAATAAATCAGATAGGATAGAAAGTCCAAGAGGGAGATTGAAGCTCAAAATGAGCAAATTCAGCAATATATATGTATATATATATATAGCGAGAGAGAGAGAGAGAGAGAGAGAGAGAGAGAGAGAGAAAGCAGCTTCATAAATATGTTTGACATCCTTTTTGGAATATACTATAGGGGGGTTAAACTAGATATAGCAAGGCTAGAAGAGCTACAATATATTCTGAATTTCAAGGCAAGACTGTGTTGTTTTGGTTTTATTCATCAGTGCATATATATTGCATGGTTCGGTTTCAAAATGTATGCCAAACTTTTTTACTTCTGTTTTTCCTCAAATTGATGACCATATATGAGAGTCCTTGGGCTATTTGAATGCCTAAACATTTTGAAATGCATTTCAAGAGATTCGTAATTGACACAAGATGCAATTGAAGTAAAATAACGCTGCTAAAACTGGGAAACAAAGATACAAGGTAGTAGTTTAATTGCTGCAATTGAGGACATGGTATTCATTAGTTGCTGCTGTTATTGCTGCTGAAAAGGTTGTAGTTTAATTGGCTAGTATAGCTTTTGAATATTTTGCTTGTAGCAGATCAGAATTTGTATTGGTTGTTTCCTCTTTGTTGTTGGTCTTTGTTGTATCTTCCCATCTGGGGTCTCACTGTAAATTTTTTCAGCTTTTTATACAAGCTTACCTTTAACGAAAAAATAAAAAATAAAAAATAAAATAAAAGATACAAGATAGTAACAAAAATTGCATATATTTGATGTAAAAAGCCAATATTACATTTTTTAAAAATTGCAATTGAACTTGAAACATAGAGAGTAAGCCTAATTGTGACAGCAACATATATATTACCCTAGCTACTTGAATGCCGTTAGATAATTAATGTAAGTACTAATTTCTTTGGCAGACTCACTTAGGAAATACATCAAAAAGAGATGGCTCGAATCATGGAGGCTCTGTTGTTATTAGTGGTTGCATCAATAAGTTGACGGCATCTGTATTGTCGAGCTCATTATGAAGAACTCATGTGAACGCATCTTGCAAGAGCTGGTGATAATCAATTGACCAAGAGGCATTAGGGTTGACGCGATATGTGTTGCCGAAGAATGTGCTATCCATATCCTGCTGATAACTTTGGTGATGTCTCAACTCTTCAAAGCCAAGATAGTGAGGAACTTCCGTACTGGTTTGGGGAGGCTGATCATAATCACCATTGTCCATTCTAGGGGGCTCAGTCTCAGAGAGATTGTGCATGGAAGTTCCTTCAGATGTCAAAAATTGGTCATTTACTCCATCAAATCTAAGAGAATATTGAGGAACTTCTATGATTTGGGGAGGCTGATCATAACCACCAGTGGTCATTCCAGTGAGCTCAGTCTCGGAGAAATTGTGCATGGAAGTTCCGTCATATCTCATTACTTGTTCAAAATTATTGTTGTCATTGACTCCATCAAAACTAAGAGAATATTGAGGAACTTTGGTGGTTTGGGGAGGTTGATCATAACCACTAGTGTTCATTCCAATGAGCTGAGTCTCGGAGAGATTGTACATGAAAGTTCCTTCAGATGTCGAAAATTCTTCAATATTATTGTTG